TGCTTTTGCATTACAAAAAATATCCAACAAAATAGCACAAATGAGGTCAAAACACACATAATAAACAGGGAAAATTGTTACTAATTCATGTCATAGAAATAAAGGTAAATGTCCTTATATAGTCCTAAAATGTACAGACATTTTTTAAAAAGAAAGAAAGTCTGAGTCCCTGTAACGACTGGGCCAAAAGCATAAACTGACTGTACATAAGAAAAAGAAAATGAGAGTGGCCATTAGTCATATGAGAAAGATATGTGAATTTGTTTTTGTCAATGAAAGTCAAGTGAAAATGTACACTGATGTTCCGTTTGTCACATGTGAGATAAGCAAAACTCAAAAGCCGGGCAACACTGCTGGGGAAACCCTGAAAACAATTCCTCTCCCAGGAATTGATGGGGAAAAGGCAAATGGTACACATTTTATGAAGGGAGATTTGACTTGATTTGGGCAAGTTAACTTGTGTTTTTACCTCTTAAACAGCAACAGCACATCAAGGGATTCATCCCAAATATATGGTGATAGAAATGATTAAAGATTATGTCACAAAGTTGTTCATGGCAGCCATATTTGTGACAGCAACAATAGAAACAACCACATTGTCCATCAATAGAAGAGTAGTTGAATGTACTATGGTATGTCCACACAATGGAGCATTTTTCTAGCTGGATGGAAGAATGAGAGATGTCTGTCTCTACAAAGCAATGATGCTCCACCCCCCGAAAAAATCCATTTTCATTTTTTTTGGTAACTTCTTCAATTCGTGTGTCTTTAAGCACTTCACTACATGCATTACACTGTGGCTACCACATTCATTCACTGACAACACGGCTTTCACATGGTGAGCAAGTAACACATTATGATCTTTTTTGATACATGTGCCTTTATACTTACAAGATTCATCATAATGTGGTCTGTACATCCATTCACTGAAATAACACAATGCGCCCAGCAAGGAGCCTCAAAGATATATTTTTAAGTGAAAAGGGGCAATGTTAAGAAGTTATATGGTAAATGCAATATTTAGACCAGAGGAAGAATAGTGAATGACTGTCTCTCCAGTGAGAGATGCACGTCCAGTGCCCAGGTAACACCAGTTATCCTATACCTTTAGCCCTTAGGAGATCTGGTAAACACACCCCTGTATAACCTTAACTAATACTGATGTCACTTCACTCACATCTATCCAACTTTGACCCACTCCAAAAATATACATCCTCATGTAAACACTTTTGCCAGTTCAAATTTTCCAAGACCTTTCTATATTTTTATTTAAAAAGCCTCCTTTGTCACACACTTTCAGCTGTTTTGGGTCAGAAATCAGCATCAGCAGCTCTTTATGGCCCTGCGGTGTTAGTGAGATCCGCTGTGACCCAGGAGTCTTTCTGGACAAGGTCAAAGCAGTGAAATGTTGGAGCTGGAATTCACTGGAACATAACAGCCGACTATTACATTGTAAGGGCTTTTGCCAGATATTAAAAAGTAAATCACATAGACCAGCAATCACAGTCATTATATCACAAGGAAACCCAACTCATGCTTTAAACTCACCAATTCCATAATTAATTTTCTTATTACTGTTATCTATGTTCTTGGGGTTATTTACATTTGTTGTAATGGAATGGTGGAACTACATCTCTTCCCAACCCTGCATTCATTGTCATCACTTTGGTATCTTGAAATTGGCAAAGGTGAAAACTTAGGTATGGCATTTCCCACCGTCCTCCTTTCCCTCGAGACCCTGTTGTGAAACCTTTACCTGCTCATTACTGCTTGAAGCCGATCCATACCCTGAGTTGGTGGATATGCTCATATCTAATTCATGCTGATATACTAGAGAGATGTCGCTCTGGATGATAGGAGTTTAAATCTGTGAATGGGGTAGTACATGACAGAGTAAGGTACACAAAAATGGTTTGATATCTAACATTTATAAAGATGTCCTAAGATGACCAACATGCACAATTAAGAGATTTTTAAAAAGTTAGAGAACAATTCAGCAAGTGGTATAGTGGTTAGGGAGACTGTATCCTACATGGCCAACCATGCAGTCTGAGTCCCAAACCTGGCAGTGTGGAAAACATGCCACATGTGTGGGTGTATGTGCCCACAATCATGAAAGGAGGGAGAAATGGAGGAGAAGAGATTCCAGGATTGTGCTGTGACTAAAGTCCTCCCTCCCTCTCTCTCTCTCTCTTCCTGTCTCTCTCCAGCAAGCACGAATGCACCCTTTGGCAAAAATTTAAAAAAGAAAAACGGTAGCAAACTATAGGTTACCCAACAACGTATGTTTGAGTCTGTATGTTCACGTGTGTTTGTGCATAAGGGTGTGTGTGTGTGTGTGTGTGTGTGTGTGTGTCTATGTGGCACCAGTGTCAGGTGTGAAAAGCCCAGTCCAGAAGGGTGCTGGGCTTTAGAAAAAGGAAAGGGCATAGAGAAAAGTGTCTCACTTCTTCCCCCAAAGTGCCATTGCTTCATTTCTCTTCCCATCTTTCCTCTCCTTTCACATGCTGTAACCCAAATATGCTCACTGTCATCCAACTCCTCTGTGAGAGCTACTCACCCTAAGACACAACTGTGTATCAAAGTTTCAATTCTCTTCCTTGTACTGCTGCTTCCTTCCTCCAGGAATATGTGGACTAAATCTTCTGCACTGGAGAAGACAAGATTTGGGATCATTTTTTTCCAAGTGATGCATCAGGGTACAAAGGGAGGCTTATGATGGAATTCTGTCCTAATCCATGATCTGAGTTATTTTCCATGTTTGTTTCTCTGTCACTAGATAGAGAATATAAGAATCCTGACTTCTCAAGACCTCCAAAAAAAAAGAAATAGTTGTAATTGGATGTCATTAGCATCAATCATCTTGGATAAACTAGGGAGGAAGGAATAAGAGTCTACAACAGGCATGCCCAATTGACCTTTCATTCTGCCTGTGGTGTGTGTGGACGGGGAACAGAGACTGAAGTTATTTAGAAAATCAGTAAGGAATCAAGAAACAAGTACAGGCAAGAAAGAGATGATCAATTACTATATATTGTTACCTTGAATAGGAAATAAAAGAACTACTTCAAAAAAACCCTTCTGGGGGCCAGCAGGTGGCATAGTGATTAAGGGCGCTGCACTCCCACATAACCGACTGTGGTTCTGGTCCTAGACTTGGTGGCTTGCTTTTTCATTTTCCCTCTCTTTCTCTCTCTCTCTCTCTCTCTCTCTCTGTCTCTCTCACTCTGTCCCTCCCTGGTCAAATTAAAATAAATAAATAAATAAAATAATTCTAAAAAACTAAAAATAAAAAAACCTTCTGACTGTTTTCTGCGTGAATTTTGAACCTTTCATTTGATGCGCTCCTGCTCTCTCTCTCTCTCTTGCTATATATGAAATATATATATATATGAAATATATATGAAATACGTATATATGAAATACAGAGAGAGAGAGAGAGAGAGAGAGAGAGAGAAATTCACCAGAAACACTGGAGGAAATTACCTTCATTCTTTGAGTGTGCCTTCTCATAGGAATATTGGCCATAAGAATTCTAAGCGGATAGAGTTGCTGCGCGGCTGTGTGTCCTTAGCATACAGTGAGCACAGAATAAATGAAAGATAGTAATTCATCATCATATTTCATTGGCCCTTTGGAACTTCAATCTGGGCACAATTAATTTCCCCTCTTGGGTTCTTGTTGTCCTGAGTGGCCCCAGTTTCCCCCACTATAAAATTCATGTTGGACTAGAATCAAACTGGCATTCCATTGGCCAGAGTTGTCCTGCATACATGTCTGGTTAGGCCCATGTAGAAAGAGCATAGAGAAGAAACCTGATCCAATGATATAAAATTGAGTAATTTTTGCACAGAAATCTAGAATTCCATGTTCCCTTGAAAATCAGTTGATTTGGCAATGAGCACTCCAATTTCCTGCATGGCAAAAGTTGTTGAGAGCCAAGGAGCCACTGACTCCTTAGTTAGAGCATGCACCGACAGTTGGCCAGAGCCCATCTGGCCTGCCCTGCCCAGTGACATGACCTGCGTAATCCTGCACGCACAGTGACTTGTGATCCTCTGGACAACTGGAAACTGACTATGCCAGAAGATAAAGAGCATAGCTACTTAATTGCTCAATTAACACACCACGTGTGTGCGTGCGTGTGTACCCAGAATCATGAAAGGAGGGAGAAATGGAGGAGAAGGGATTGCGGGATTGCGATGTGATCAAAGTGCTTTATTACTTTCTCTCTCTCTTTCTCTGTCTCTTCCTGGTGAGCACACGTGTGCAAAAAAAATAAAGAATCTTTTTTTTAAAGTTAGAGAACTACAGGTTACTGAACAATCTATGTTTGAGTCTGTATGTTCACGTGTGTTTGTGCGTGGGTGTGTATGTGTGTGTGTGAGCGTGTGTGTGCCTGTGTGTGCAGCACCAGTGTCAGGTGCCACTCTTTTTCCTTCTACCAGTTTCCTATCTAGCCATGTAAAGAAATCTAACTTACTTAGTAAGGTGATTCTCACTTTGAAACAAGAATTTATGAAGTCTGCAAGAGTCCGAATAGTCTAAGTTATACTGTGATAACAAACAAACCATATCTCTGTATCTTACAACAACAAGGGTTTATTATTTGTTCATGCACAGAAACCTTGACACATAGGAAACATGTCCTCATGTTCCCACATGTGTGGATAAGTAAGTACATTGGAGCACAAGTAACATCTACATATCACACAATAGGTAACACCTCTAGCATAAAAAATCACAGAAATCCCCATTTAGAGACCGGTCTACTTAGATTGAACAAACCTGTTTTATAAGAGGCATAAAACCACCCTACCACCAAGGGAATAAGGGATGAAGGTACAAGAATATTCACCTTCTGCCAAGAAATTGCTCCACATAATAAAAAGGTCTGAAAGCTCATAAAACACCTGAAGGCTTACAAAAGGACATTAACCATTTTGGACATGAACAATTTGCACATTCAGAAACAGGATACTAAATAGGCAGTGCTCCGGTGAGGCTTCTTCCTCTGGGCTCCTAGATTAAAGAGGAGATTCACCTTAGGCGTCCAGTAGGCAGCGACGTGGAGTTGTTGGGCCTGGGGCGGAGAGAGGGGCCTGGAGACTGGAGTCCTCTATCTCCACAGGAGCTGTAGGCAGAAGGGAAGGAGCCAGAGCCAAGTCACTACCATGTCCCCACCCAGCTTTCCCTCCTACTCAGTAATTTGTCTCCAGGACTGTTGCACAGGTCTCTTCTCTCTTTCCCCTGCCTCCAGTTTTGTTTCCCCCAACCCCTCTGTCACAGCCACCACATTCCTTTCTGTGAAGCCCAAAGCATCTGGGTATGTTCTTCCCTGGGCCAGAAGCATTCCCCAGCTCCTCACCACCCACAGTTTCTGGGATAGCCTCTAAGCCCAGCCTGACATTTTTCCCTGATTGGACCTCCGTCGCTTTGTCCCTTTCTATCCCAGCCTCTTGCCCTTCTGTTCCAGCAGTTCCTCCAGGATTCCGTCTTTGCTCACATACCGCGCCTCTTCCACCGTTTTGGTCCTGGAATGACCAGCCATCCCTCTTGGGCTCCTCATGTGTTTTTCCTTCCTCAGAGCTCCTCCAGGCCTTCCTCTCTGGGCCCTGGGTTCACATCGATCTGCTAAACACGGTGTACAAAGCCATCCAGGCTACACATCAAGACTGGAAGCTCCCTGAATAAAGGGACAAGTCCTCCTACCAGACTAATCCCTTATCACCACTCTATGCCCTCTACAGACAACAGCAGGCAGTAAGGGTTTGGTTAGAGAGCCCTGGGAGGGGATTTAGGAATCCTGGTTCTTCCCCGTGGTATGATGCATATTCTAGGGCAAGGGCTTGCCGCCCTGAGGGCATCAACTTCCTTGTTTCTTGACCTCTGGGGCCAGGACACTTTCTCCTCAGCCTAAAGCCTGAAACACTGAAGATTCACTGAGCAGGCCTCAACTACTGTCTCAGGAGGCAGACCGAGGAACACAGGAGGCTGCACCCAAGGAGGGGTAACCCACAGACCCTGAATTTCCCAGTTTGCCCCTACCTACCACAGCACCCTCCCCTTACCCCTTCACTCCCAACCTCTATTTTCGACTTTCAAAGAGCAGGCCACCTGGTGGGTTGCAGGGCTGGTGTGTGGAGATGGAAACAGAAGGGGCCAGGCGAGAGTTTTTCAGAGAGAGCAGAGCCTCAGCAGCCTCCAGCATCTTCTGCCACTCTGAGCAGGCAGAAACAGAAGCCTGGTCAGAGGCTTTGACGACCTGCAAAGGAAAGCTCATGAGAAAATGGGGACTATGAAACCAACCTCCTCTCAACCCAACAATTATCCCTCAAGCTCCCAGTTCCCTTGAGCCCCCAGTCCCACCCTCAAGGCCCTCTGCTCTTTTCAACCACCAAGCTCAGGTCACCCAAGGGTTCTGGACTCTACTGCCTTCCCAGGACCTCATCCGCTAAGCTCAGACCACACAATGGTTCTGGACTCCACTACTTTCCCAGGACCTGTGGCTGCTGTAGAAGAGGGCTATGCGAGGCACAGGGATGAAGGATCACAGCTGAGCATCTAGAAACAATGAGTGGAGAGAGTAGGAGATTAAACCCTGTGGCAGACGTGCACTGCCAGTACACAGAGAGAGAGGGGCAGGAGTTCGAGTATGTGGATGTTGGAATCCAGATGCCTGCTGGGTCATTAGTCCCCTGTGGCTCAGACAAGTCTCTTCAATAGCTCTTTTTCGGTGTATACTTCCTGAGATACCAATTCCTGCCAGCCTTTCCCTCCCCGGGAGAAAAGCAAGGTTATAGGAAATAAAGGGTGTCAGTGTTTTCATCGGCAAAGCGCCCGGAGAGGTGTGATTACTGTCCCTTTTCTGGGACCGGTTCTCGCTTTTGTACTAACCAGTCTCCAAGGATCTTAAAGGAAAAGGCTGGCTCGGAACCAGTGACATTTCTCTAATGGCCTCTGGACTTTGTCCTGAGCCACTGTCTCTTGCTTCTTCCTCATGGTCATGGCCCTGCTTTTCAGTAGCTGTTTTATTCTGTCCATTGTTCTATGTGGAATAACATCCCCTGTTATTTGAAGTCCTACATTGTGGCGGTTCTTATGCTAGAGCTCTTTCCAATGCTATAGGCATGGAATATTGTCCCCAGTACACCCATAGAGAAGTTGAGCTTTGAAAATATCAAATTGCTTGTCCAAAAATCTCACAAATAGGACATGGCAAAGCTGGAAGAGTCCTGCCCTTGCACCATACCCAGGGGTGATGACGTCCCCTTAGCCTTCATCTCCGCCTGCTCCTCCTCCTCCTCCTCCTCTTACTCCTTCCTGTCTTCTCCCCAGCTCCCAGGGCATGAAGCACAAGCTTTGGTAGGTATACAGGAACACAACACACAAACAGCTCCATGCTCCTTCATCTACTTACATGCCGGGCAGGGCAGGGGGACAGCAGGGCTCTCTGGGAAGAGAAGCCATCTGTTGTTGCTCCCAGGTCGTTGGATCACGGGGCAGAGTCAGAAGTTCAGGGGGCTGGCTGAGCAGCACGGCCCCTTTGGAGCGCTGCTATAAGGGCAGACAGTACCGGCAGGAGTGAGGCATCAGGCCACGAATGGGGAGAGCAGATGCGGGCATGTTTTGTTTTTGTTTGTTTGTTTGTTTTTTGTTTTTTGTTTTTTTGTTTTTTGTTTTTGTTTTTGTTTTTGTTTTTGAGGAGGAGGAGGATAAGTGCTCTGAAGATGGATCACAACTCTGAAGATCGTGAAGGATGGCCAATCGTTTCTTTCATTTCTGCACCAGGGGAAGTTGAGGCCCAAGGACAAGAAATGATTCTTCCCAAGGACCCATGGCAAGTTGGTGGTGGTGTTGGAGATGGAAACCTTGTCTTTGAGATACAGTAGAAGGGGTCTAGGTAGTGGCTGGGTGGAAGCCTCTCCCACTGGGCACATACTCTGCTTACCTCCTTGGGGGTTGTAGGAGGGCGGGTCTCTGGCTGGGGCATGAGGCTCTCCTTCCCAGCTGTGAGAGACCAGGGACAGTCTTGATGAGCCTTTACCCAGTGACACCAAACAACTCTACCCAACTCCAGTCTGGGGTCTCATCCCACCATGGATCTCTCTGACCCATTACATCTCTCTTTCATACCAACACTTGACAAACCACACCACTGGTGTTTTATACTTGGGGAGGCTAAGGTGCAAGTAATAACTTGCTGTAGGCCACAATTCTAACGTGAGTTAGGACAGGTAACCAAAATATCACGCTTCTTCCCCCAAACTCAGGCTCCCACCATGACTGGAGACACTCACTGAGGACTCCTGCTTCAGTGGCCAAATTCTCCATGTGGTTCTGAGCGTTGGGAGAGGCAGCCACAGTCTTTATCAGTCCTTGAGCCAGGAGCTTCTTTAGCTCTGCCTCTTGCTCCTTCTGCAAGGCACTCACATCAGGCAACACCCTCCAAGGCTCCCTAATGTGGGGGATTGAAAGCCTAAGGTTAGTCACATTTAGAGAACTGACCTCTCCCGTTGTCAGATCCTGTACTTACCAGGAGAGGGCACAATTGTGACACACACAGGCCTGGAAGAGGCAGAAATGCCTGTGGCCTCTTATCTGGGTAGTGATGCCATGACTGTGACAGAGGTCGCATCGATCTACAGCTCCTCTGGGACCCAATTCCATCCCCCGTGGGGCTCCGGTCTCAAACGCTGTGGTGTGTACAGAGTTGGCAGGGAAGCAGGGTACAGGTGGTATTTCCTTGCGATGCATGATTCTAGGGGCAGGAGCAGAGGTCAGAATGATCACATGACACACATCTACCAAGGTGCTTCCTCTGCCCTCCAAAACCCCTATCTGCAGTGGCTGGATTCTTCTTGTCTAACCTCCCCAGCACTGAAATCAAAGTTTACCCTTCCTTGTTTTCCCATGGCTTTCTCTAAACTTTGCCTAGACATCCGTGCTCAAGTAGCCTTCTTCTCAGGAAGCCCACCTACCAATAGCCTCCTCCTAAGAAATCTTTGGTGTGCGAATCCCCCACACACTTTGCAATCTGATCATCATTCTTCCTGCTTACTTTCACTCCACCATAGATCCCATTTTCAGGCATACACGTGCACTCCTATGCCTGATTCAGCTATTGCTACACCCCCTTTCTAGAGATCACTGTATGCTCTGGCAAAAGCAGCTACTATTGCTGGCATCCCCCAGCATTTATCTGCCTCATCGCCTGCATTTATTCACTCCACACGTATGATTTTATGCCCCTTAACCCAATCCTATAATTTCTCTTACATTTGTCCTATATTTGATTTTCTCCTTACTCTCCATTCTGATTTTTTCCTGCATTCCACATTAATCTTAACCGTCCCCATGCTCTCCCTTTTGGGTGATTATTCTCTTGCATGCCCTGCAATCATATTGTTTTCCTGGATTCACTCCCCTTTCTCAAGTACTATATTGTCTTTTCATCCCCGGATTCATCCCATTGATTCTTCATTCCCCAGACACTTGTCCACCCCCATTCTGGAACACCAGGCACGATTCTAGAAACTGTAAACCTCTCAATGCAGTAATTTTCCTGGTGGGCCAACAGATCCTCTCAGCTTCTGTGCACACCCATGGTTTCCCTCCACAGCCTCCTGACAACCTTCCAAACTTCTCTCCACACTTCTAAAATTGTACTTGAAAACATGGTCTCTCTATACACTCAAACTCCACCCCCAATCTCCCCGCCTCCCCCCCCCACACACACACACACATGCAGCACCTCCTCCTCAGAAATCCTAGTCATTCCCTGAATCAAAGAGAGGGGCCTGAGCTTTGCCCAAGGGCCCACGGGCCAGGGCTCAGGGGGCTAAGGCAGGGGTTCTGTGAAGGGTTGGGGTGGAGTGGGGGGTGATGGGAGGGTGGGGTCCCCTCCCCACCCCACCCCACCCCCGGGTAAGGTGAAGGAGAGAAAAAGGGAGTGGGCGATCAAAGTGAGAGGGAGGGAGGGGAGAAAGAAGAGACATGGAGAATGAGGGTTGTTTTGCGCTTGCCAGCTCCTGGTTACCCCAGCCTCCAGTAGGTCCTAATCAATCAGCCAGCACAAGAGATCTGAGGGAAGAGCCAGCTCCTCTTCCCTTTCCCGCCTTCCCCACAGTGGCCAATGACTTTCCAGCACTGCTTGTCCCTCCCACCTGCTGTGGCTGGCAACCAATAAGCTGTGAGATGCCTAAGGCTCATGCGCTGTGGTACGCCCCCCTCCTCTCCCCACCCCCCACTTCCTGGTAGCTTCTGGTGCTTGTTTGTCTAGTCCAGTCCTGACTTCTGAAGTGAACTTGAAGTGAAGATGAGCTTTGTGCTGCCGGTGACTTGTTTCCCCCAGACTAGGGTCCCTTCGGATGTGAAGTATTTTGTGTGCATGACTTTTTTTCCTCATGTTCTTTGTGTTCTGTCACGTACCCTTTAAAAATCCATTATGTACATTTCAGAACGATCTGTATTTCTGTCAGGGAGTCTCAATTAGGGCGCATTTCCACTCCCAGAGAATATTGGCCATTGTCCGAAGACATTCTCGTCCACATTTGTGTGTCTCTGTTTCTGGGCTCCCTGTATGTTCCTCGGATAAATGTGTCTATTCCTGTGCCAGTACTACACCATCTTCGTTCTTATCACTCCCTAATCCATCTTGATATCTGCCAGGGCAAGTTCTTAAATTTTATTCATCATCTCAAGTATGTCTCCATCTTATTTGCCTTTTGCCATCTATCTAAATATTAGGATCGGCACGTACCATTCCCTGAGGAGCCACTGGCAACAAATCTGCATTTCATTTTCACTGAATGTGTGCATCGGTAAGGGGAGAATTGACTATCTGTAGGATATTTACCTTTCCCCGTCACCCCGCTTGGAACGTCTCTCCATTCATCTGCATCTTAAATATTTTAATCTTTCAGTTTAGTTTTTAGTTTTGTCTTTTGAACACTCGGAAATTCTACATCATTTATTGTATCTATCCCAAGATACTCTAGTCAAAGTATTGCTGCTCTTGTATTTGGTATCTATTCAGAAGGAAAATTTATGTTTTGACCTACTTGACAGAAATGCCTTAGACCTTTTTAAAAGTATATTGATTTGGGGCGGGCAGGTGGTATGGTGGTTAGAGTACTGGACTCCTGCATGGCCAACCGTAGTTTGAGTCCTAGACCTGGCAGCTTGCTCTCCCACTTTCTATTTCTCTCTCCCCCTCTCTGTTCAAATTAAAAAAAAATAATAATAACAAGTAAAATTAAATGAATAATCTTTAAAAAAAAAAAAAAAAAGAATATTGGTCTGAAAGTCAGCCACCATGCCAAACTCTATGATACCTGAAAGTTTGTCTGTAGATGCCCTGGAGTTTTATGTGAGTCTGTGACTAATAGAAATATAATTGATCTTATGGGTTTCTTAATATGCTGACTAGAATACCCAGCACAAGGTCTAGGAAATGGCAAAATCAAGCTTCTTTCATTTTTCCTGATTTATTTTTTTCATCATACTAGTCAGTTTTTAATGTATGAGATATGGATTTGTTCAGTAATATTACATATCTAGATCAATTTTTCTAAGTCACAATTATGGCTAAATTCTCCATTAAATACAAGGTTCCAAGTACCTGGGCCAGTTGGCCATACCTTGAACAGCCTTTCCTCCCAGTAAGTTTCTATGCTAACTCCATCATAACATTTATTACATATTTTAATTACTAGTTTGTCAGTCTCCCATTAGCCTACAGGCTCCTTGAAGCGAGGGCTGTCTTCACTCTGCCTTTTTAAAGTACACACAGATACCAAATTATTTACTTAATGAGCAATATATCTATTCAAATGACATGCATTTGTTCATAACCACTGAGACTTCTAAGTATTCTAAACTAATCCGTAGTCTGATTAAAAATCCTCAAATTTAATCAAACTTAGGCCAAGGCTGACTTATCTTGTGTTAAATCATTTTTGGAAATTGCAGCTCCGAGGCATTTTATTGTAAAATGTTGAGACCCATATACTTAAACTAATAGGAACTTAAACTCATATACTTCATGCTTTAGCTTGACCTTCTAGTAAATCTTTAGTTTCGTTGATTTTCTCTGCCATATAAGGAGATTCTCCTTTGTCTGGGATGATTTAAAAGCATAATCCCTCGATGAGCATCTCTTATTTTTCCTTTATTCACAGTAGGGCTTGCACCTAATAATAATGCTGCTTCCTGTTTTGTCATTTGGGGTTCAAACCCACCTCTGTAATAGTCACCACTGAAGGCAGATTTCGGTAGACTTTGAAAAACTTGTTTTACTTGAGGCTCCATATGCTTCATGGCTTGCAAAACATAGCAACCTGCAAATCCAGCAGGAGCAATGGTCAGTCCAACTGCTACCACTGTATCGGCCATGGCTCTGGCTGGGTTCCCCTGCCTCCATCGTGAGTGCAGTTCATCCCAACCCAGAGGCTGTAGCCACCAACTGTACACCTTTTTACCAGAAAGCCTGTTTTTCCCTATTTAAATCAAATGCTGCCCACATTTCGATATTAAAAGGTAAAGTTCTCTGTTGAAAATGATATATATGGTAATATCCTTAATTTGATTGTCCTGTATGACATGCATGCTTCGAAAGACCATATTGTGTACTATAGAGATGTGCAACAATTAAATGTAAATATGAAGCCATTATACACACACACACACACACACACACACACACACACACCCTCTGCTCTGCTTTCTTTACCTTACTTATTTGTCCTCTCCTTTCCTCCCTCTTTTCCTTCTTTCCTTCCATTCTTCTTTCCTTCCCTTTTTCCTTGCCTTTAAGATTAAGGAACATACCTTCCATTCCTCATTTCAAAAGTTTGTTTTAAAACCCGTGACTAGATGTTGAGTTCTATTCTTTCCCTGTGTAGAAATGATCAAGACTGTTCATTTTATGTGCCAGCACACTGATTCACTGGTAGCTATTTCCAAAACCTGTAGTGAAGTTGATCTTACCATACAGAAAGAACAAAAATCACTATCTTCAATAATTTCATTGAAAAATTTAATTCAAGAATTAAACATGCACATGCAATTAGCATCTACAGCAACAAAGAGAATATGTCAGCAACACACAAACGTCTCTCATGCTCCCTTTTATCTCTATTTTATTTTCTTATTTTAAAGCAGCCTTGCTCTCCTAGGATAAATTTAACTTAGTGTGGTATGTAAGGTTTGTATGGGGCGGGGGATCCAGTTTGTTCAATTTCGTTTGTGATTTTTGCATATTTTGTTCATGACTGAGATTGACTTTTCTGCTGCTGTCCTTGTCTGGTTCTAAAGTCAAGGTTTTAGTCTCACAGACTGAGTAGGGGAATAGTTCCTCTTTTCTATTTGGAGGTGTTTATCTAAGATTGAGCCTATGTGTCTTAAAACTTTATTATTAAAAATTGTCCACTGAAACATCTGGGATGTGTGATCCTTCATTTGAAACATTGTAGTATGAACAATCTCAATCATCAACGTTTAGAGATTGTATAAAACATTTTACAGTCTCCAGGTTTGTTATCTTAGAACAGTGGTCCTGCAATTTTAGCTTGCATCAGAATCACCTAGAGGGCTTGTTACCACACAGACTGCTGAGAGTCACAACTGGACCGTCCGATGACAAGATGTGGCATGTGTTTGCTTTTCTAAAACCTTCTGATACAGAGTTTGCTTTTCTGAAACCTTCCCTGGTGATACTGATGCTGATGGTGGAAAACTACACTTTGACCACACTGCACAAGACAGGACATCATAAGGAACCTTCAATTATCCATCTCCCACTTGCAACCATTAACAACTCATGGCCAGTCTCATTCCACGCATATCTAGTTGAAGGGGAGTACAATGAAAATTCCTAGAATTCTTAAATTCATGGTATCCTATTGCATTAATTCTCGTTGTTGCTTTTGTTTGTTTGTTTCTCCTTAACAAGTTCCAAACACTTTACCCAATTACTTCAGCATGTATCTAAGTAGTAGTTCATACCCCCTTAGAACCACAATACCGTGATCACTTTAAGAAATGTTTCAGTGATATGCTAATAAGGTGATATGTATGGATATGTAAGTTCATACACAGTACGTGTTTAAATGTCCCCAAGTGTCCTGATAAATCCTTTCAAAGGATTTTGTTGGCGACCAACAAGCCAAAAAAGAAATATATCGTGTGCCATCCCCTGTGGTGCAGCAGTTAATTGCTGTGCATAGGAAGCTGGAACACATCATATGTCGGTCCTGGCAGCTCGACAAATACACCAGCCATGTGTGCGTGCATGACTGAGATACTGACAGAATGGAAAAATCAATACAAAAGGATAGGGGCATGACCATGCCGATTGAGGTGTGCTTTCTCTTTCTCTCTCTTCCTGCCTGAAGAGCACACGAGCCTTCTGCCAATAAAAAGGAAGAAAGAAAGAGAAATAGAGAGAAAGAAAAAAGAAAAGAAAAGAAAAGAAAAGAAAAGAAAAGAAAAGAAAAGAAAAGAAAAGAAAAGAAAGAGAAAAAGGAAGAAAGGCCTTGCATTCAGTTGTCATGTCTCTTTAGTGCCATCCGATCTCAGGTACTCTACCAATGTTTTAACTCCTCTAGGACAATGAGATTTTTCTGGAGCCTAGGCCTGTTACTTGGAAAGTGGCCCACAGCATAGGTTTGCCTGACATTTGTGTCTCGAGTACATTTATGTTTAACATTTTGGGTAAGTATTATGTAGTAGGCAATGAGTATTTCACACAAAATCACCTCTGGGGACTCCCGAGGCCAGTTTGTCTCCTTACAAAGGCAGTACTGCTATTAGTTAATTAGGTGTTTGTCACAGAGATTGCTCCATTGTGAAGTTACCTTTTCCCCTTTGTGATCAATAAACAGCGTATTGCAAGTTATTTTGATGCCATGCTGGTATTTTGTTCCCCAACAAAATTTCACCCATCAGCCTTAGGATTCATTCAGGACCCTAACAGATTTGATTTTGACTTTGGTGGTTGAACAATAGTGGTTTCCCAACTCTTATCATTCATTTCTGCTTTCTTCAATGGGAATTTTGCAGTACAGAAGAGCATCCCATCCCATCCACCCTCCATCTTGTACTGGTT